TACAGCATTTTTGTACCTCAAGGTCAAAGTGTTCAATCATGCTTGGACATGTGTCTACCCTTTTTTTACCCTGTTTTTGAGTCTGTCTCTATAGCATGATTGTATTAAAATTCAATCACGTAGGTAAATTTGGTACGCCTAGAACAATTGGAAGAGTGCCTCCATAACTCTCATTCTTAAATCAAATTCTATATGATTTAGAAACACCATTAATTCAAAATATACTCTCATAAATATTCCATTTAATCATTAATTATTTTTATGAAGTCTTTTCTTATAAAGTTGCTAACCAAATGAAATTTATAATTTTTTAATTTTGATATAATAGCTAATTACTTGTATATATTTTGTAAGATTGTATATATTTTGTAAGAATTATAACATTTATTTTGTAAATTGCAAATCATCCTTTTTTGTTATTTTTGGAAATCTATTTCATAATAACATCAAACTATTATCAATTAACAAGTCATATCTAACCATTTAAAATGCAATTTGGTACTCGTATTCATATTATACATGACCGGGTTTATTTCATGAGAGCAATAAGTACATTCATGTTGGAAGTTTCGAAAAGAGGTCTCATGCTGATCTGGAACTATCATTGGTTCTGACTCTTTTAATGCTTTGGGTGTAAGGTTTTCATTGTACCTTGATCTTGATTTTCTTGAGTAAACTAATATTTCTTTGTCATGTTGTTTTTCTCACCTACCTCAGAGTTTAAGTTTACCTTCTGTAAATGGCATGTTAGAACAAGATGGTTGTTGTGTTTGGAATAGATTTAGATGGAGGAGATAGATCGATTTTCAAGAACTAATCTTCACTTACATTCTCCACTTGAAGAGAGGTTCTTTGAAAATAAGGAATTTTCTCAAGGAATTTAACGTCAAAGCTGACAAGTACCCTTTTGTGGTAGTATCATAACGTTTATAGCCCTTTTGTATAGGTGAGTATCCAATCAGTACATATTTTAAGTACACAGGGATCTAGTTTATTCCTATGATGAGAATATATATGGACAAAGGTTGTACATTCAAACACATTTAATGGTAAGTTTGAGTTAAGATGAGAGTTAGGAAAGAATTTTGAAATTTTTGAAGGGGAGATTTGAATGTAAGGATGCGACTTGGCATTCTGTTTATGAGATAGGCCAATGTCAAAATGGCATTTCCCCAAAAAATTTTGGGTATATTTGTAGTAAACATTATAGCACAAGCAACCTCAAGAAGAAATCTGTTGTTTTGTTCGGCAACCCCGTTCTGCTGGTATATATCAACACAAGAACTCTGGGGAATTGTTTCATTCTATTGAAGACAGTTTAGAGTATTGTTGAAATATATGTGTTATTGTCTGTGTATAGAATTTGAATTCGTGTTTGGAATTAAGTTTATACCATTAAATGAAAATTGATAAATATTGAACGAACATCAATTTTGTCTTTTAGCAAATAGACCCAATAGATTCGAGTATGATGGTCGATAAACATAATAAACCATTTTATGTGGATACAATTAGGGGTGCATGAAGGTCCCCATAAGTCACTGTAGATCACAATGAATGGTTTAGAAGGTTTATATGTAGAGATTGGGAATAAGGAGCGTTGATGTTTTACGAGTTCACAAATTTCACAATGATGGTCATCATGAATTTTATTTGAAAGTATAGAAGAAAATACATGTCTCAAATATTAAAAATTGAGGAAACCCTTTCTATAATGCCATTATAAAACTTCACTATTCTTAGGAACAAATGAAGAATCACAAGCAGCAAATTGACATTGTTTACTCACATCAACCTCTTCAAAGTAATAGAGTCCCTCACACTCTTTAGTACTATCAATCGTGTTCCATGATGGGACACTGTGAGAGAGAGAAAATTAGCAGAACAATTGAAATTTTTTATCAATTGACTAATGGATAACAGATTGCAAGATAGTTTCGGGACATGGAAAACATATTCGAGGGTTATTGAATGAGAGATTCGAATATTCCCTTTTCTTGCGACTGAAGAGAATGAGACATCTATAATTTTGACTTTGAAGTTATCAACACATGGTAAATATATGGAAAACAGATGGTGAGAGTCCGTCATGTGATCGAACGCAGCCGAGTCAATGATCCAGGGAACTTTATATTGTGTGATAGTGCTTAAAGTTTTCAGGAAATTACTTTTGTGGGCCAATGAACGTGATGGACTTTTAGTAGAAAGCTGATTAGATGTTTGGAGGCTAGAGAACATTTGATAGAGTTTCTCCATTTGCTCAAAACTGAATGCACCATTTTGAAAGGGATTAGTCATTGTCTCAGCTTGATACTTTCGATTCTTAGCCTTTTTATCTTGGGCTCTAGTATGCGGGCTTTCCATGTATTTCTCAATAGGTGTCTTCTTTGTGTCCCAACATGCGACAATGTTCATAGCAAGGTCATCCCCATTGCTAATTATGAATTGACCCATTTGACATTCCCCTTAATGATAGGCCTGACATTCCTGATCCATTTCCAATTGTTGGTCCAGATCTTGACCCATAGCTAAATCCTATTTCTGGCCCATTAATTTTTGAAAATGGAGGACAAGATCTAGACCTATTACTTGCAGGCCCATTAGCTTTAAAAAAACAAAGGCTATTGACCTTTAACAAAAAAAACCGACACCTCGCCCTCTCCAGTCGCAGGCCTTCAATAAAATCTACCTTCGCGTTTCTTCTCAGCGGACCTCTGCAAATACTTTAGCATCGATAGCAAATGTTGCTTGCCAAGAATCTGGCTTCTTAACATCATTTTATTCATGGTTCAACGCAGCAAGGAACTCATACACTCTTTCGTTTCCAATTTCTTTTTTGTATATGCTGCTATCACCTAAGCACTCCCATTTTTCCCCGAGGCTTAGATAGAGTTCTTGCCGAATGTTCACCATCTTCATATAATGCTCTGTAACTTCCCTTGATCCCTGCTTTGTTGGCCATAAGCGAGTCTTGATTTCAAAAATCTGTGATGCGCTTTCAAAATCAGAGTATATCTCTTTCATGGTGTCCCATACATCCCTTGCGGTCGAAAGGAAGAGGTAAGTCTCCTTAATGGAAGGCTTCATGGGACATGGAGAGTTCACGAGCCAGGCCGTTACCATGGAATTTTCAAAGTTCCACTTTTGAAGAAGGACGGCATCCACCGATCTTTTTGTCTCATCGATACGGTAACCCAGCTTCCCATTTTCACGATCACCAATTTTGTTGACTGTGCCCTTTCTCAAAAAAAATTTCCTTTTAGTCTCTCAACTGTGAGTTAGAAAAAGGAGTTTTCGAGTCCATAGGAGCCCCATTGAAGAGCTTGTCTCTACTCCGAATTGAGATGTTTCAGAGATTGATTCTTTGCTGTTGAAGGTGGAATCCGCCGTGGATGGTTAAGCTATCGAAATGTAGGCTCTGATAACATAAAGATAGAAATACCAGATTATGTATAAACATGTGTATATTATTCCATAATCAATTCAATGCTATGTACATTAATTTATATTACAATGAAGATGGCTTACGAGGAAGATAATTTCCTAATAAAGGAAAGAAAAAACTTGCCTAACTAATTATTATTTGAACAAGGTATATAATCAATCACAATATACAATTAAAGTCCCATAATTTTGGGATTTCTTCCGTCCTTAAAACTAACATTGTTGGGAAAATAGGTGATTTGTATGTAGATATTTATCATAATATAATCAATTAAACAACACAAACATAATTCAACAATAATATAATATAAAATTGAGAAGACGCTGTCCTAAAATCGTGTTATCTCCCTTTAGTTCGGATTCTTTCGACGTTGCATGACTCCAAGATAAACCCATGTGA